TTTTTTTTTTAATGAGATTCAAAATTCATACCGCACTTTTCCATCATATTTAACCACACTTATTTTATTTATTTATTTGTTTATTTTTGTTTTGGTGAGTATACAAATGCCTCAGCCGCTTAAGCGTGAAGAATTAGGAAGATTTATTTCTGGATTATGGAAAGTCCAAAAAACCGAAATCAATTGAAAATTTGGAGGGCAAATTTGACTTTTAAGAAACCAAAATCAATTGAGAGACAACCGTGAAATTGGAAATTGGAAAATTTTCGTAAGTGGGTGGTAGTGAAAAGTCGGAAAGCCCTTCATTAGAACCAATTGAGAACGAAATTTAACGGCAAAGGTGAGATTTCCCAATGTCAAAATTAAATTGAGATCTATTGGTAACGCATACATGTTGTCAACAACCTTCCTCCGTGTCTTTCTTCACGCTGCCAAACTGAGCAAACTCAGCAGCATTCCTTCTTCCATTCATTTTAGAAGAGGAAGCAATAGAAGAAAATGTAGCAGGACAAGTTTTGACAAAATGACTCTCACCAAGGAACTGCATCTATCTTCTAAAAATCTAACAAGATGAGACTAAATCTAGTTAATTAGATCTTTGCTGATAAAAAAATAGTCAATGAGACACCACCATATAAGAAAAATGACTAAATGAGAATGGAAGATCCACAAAAGAGTCATATTTGTCACAATCTATTATGAAATGAGCTGCACATCATATTGCAAACCAACCTAAAAAGCTAAAAGCTGAGATTACTGCATCATCTCCAATGGTGACTGTCAATGTTGACAGCTCAACAATAAAGGCAGCTGGATTCAAATAACAGAATAACTTTAAAAAGTTTCTATTATTCATCAGACAAAGAGCAAGTAGTATTACCAGAAATGATCTAGAAACAAGTAGGAAGAAATGCAAAATGAAACAAGGAAAAGAGCTCTTATATGTTTAAACTGTTTTCTAGAAAGTATGCAGCAAATAGCTACTCATGAACCTTAGACCATTAGAAGAACTCCTATACAAAACATTTGTGAACTAATTACAGCAAGTTACATAAGGAATCACCTGGAGTTACATCAATGCGGGAGGCATTTATGCCAGTGATTAGGTACCTGAATATCAGAGTCAACAGAACAAGCAAGTACTTCATCCATAATAAGAGAAACCTCCTCTGAGGATGTGTTTGGGTCAACTCTCTCTTAGTTTCACCTTCCATGGACTCTTAATTGTAGGATGCATGTAGAACATACCCAATAAGCAAAAATATATATTAATAGAGTATATACAATTCAGATTTTAAATAAAAGTTTATGAATAAAACTATATTATATATAAGCTCATTAGTACCAATGAGCTTAAATTAAATTCATTTAAGAACAAAAAAGAGAAAAATCATTTGTTTGCAGTAAAACGCACCTTTAAAACTAATTCACAAAAAAATAAAAACCAGAGAAAGGGAAGCAGGAAAATTAAATTCAACAGAAATGAACACAATGACAAATCTTCTTGGAGGATGAAAGACAACTGCCTGAAGCTTCTGCTGTGGAAAAGAAAAGAAAATACAAAAATTATTACTGACTATTCCATCCATTGTTATGCTTAGAAGGAGCACAAATAACAGATGGTGTAGAAACTCACCTAAGACTATATATAGTTGAGTTGCTGGTTTTTTCCATTTTTGTGCCTATATATAGTTGCACCTTCCAACAAATTTTCAAGTGACAAGGTAATTATTTAAGGAATCACTTGTAGTTCTGCTAATGGAGGAGTCATTATGCCAGTGATTGCAGCATCAACACACAACTCCGACATTTTAACATCCATAACTGATATGGCAATCTCCAATAAGAATTTTCCAGACCCTCAGAGCCTCTCCTCTTAGGTTTCCAGTCCCAAAACTGAGAACATGTTCCTTTCAACCATCACTGAACTCTGAAGTATACTATACAACACCAGAGCCAGAAGAATGGATTATTTGATTGATGCGACTTTCTTTATCTTAGCTTTTATCCAGAAGCAAGAAATGGTCCGTGAAGATCACACTATAATAATAACATGTAAAGATATTTGCCATGTTTCAACAACAACTCTTAGGCTCTAGAGGCAAAATAGAATGAGCACTTACACCAGCCATAACAACAGAAGCCTTGTCTGGAGATGTGTATTGGGTCATGTATCTATTTTTAATGGACTCTTAATTTTACGATGCCTGCAGGATACACCTTATATCTGTGAGCAAAAGTATCCATTGATGAGTTTACCACTAGAACAACAACTTCAACTCCAATTTACCTAAAAAACAAAAAGAAGAAGATCAAACTGACTAATGTCTACATGGTATGACTGACCATCCATACAGTACAAGCAAACAAAATTTAAATAAAAGTTCACGAATGAGAAATTTATGACCCACTTTTACCTCCCTTCAACGTATTCAACTTAGAACTTACATATGTTAATGCTACAGCCAATTTCTTGATATTTTTTAACAAAATCCCAACAGAAATTCACTCCTAATTTCTTGTTTATTGTTTAATGCCCTCGCCTTCAAAACAATCTCTATATCTACAGGAAGAACAATAAAATTCCATCAAACCATTCATGCACATTTAAAATCATTAATTTATTACACACAGAAAATTACTACAGCTTCCTCCGTTAATACAAGTTCCTATCTCAAGAAAACAAAATGTAAAACACAAAAAGAAAATTACCTGTCTAGAGTTGGCGATGGCTATAGAATGGGCCTCCAGAGGGCAGAGGACGCGGCTGTCCGTCAGCTGATACTCCTAATCCTCTTCAAAATCGCGCAGCTACGTCCGCTTTAAAACTTATTCGAAATTTCAGTTCATCGGGAAATATGGTGCAAGCGGACGATTGGGGTCCACACCACATTTTAAGAAATTTTCATTTTTATTCAGTAAAACGCACCGTTCAAATGCAACCAAACCAAAATTACTTTCTCAATTGAAATTATCAGGAATCTCATATTAGTGGAGAAATGGACACTTCAATCTTCAAAGGGGACCCCATTTCCTCATATGATGTGGGATGTTGGAAACTTGGAATTCCATATTTGAATGTAATGTATTCTTTTCTTCAAATTAAGTTTTCTTTTTCTTTTTTAATAGTCTACAATTTGGAGAGGGGGATTTTTTTCTAAAATATTGGTATGGTCGAAATTTCGACTAACAAATCCGAGTGTTTTAAGGTTTAAAAACAAATTATTAGATTGAAAGTTTAGTTCCAAATTAAGTTATCTTGAAAAATTGATAAACCATAAAAACAACTAAAAGATTCTTAAGGAATATTTTTTTAATTACTAGGATGTATTTGAATTTGAATAACTTCTCATTTCTCTTTTTTTTTTTCAAACTAAACATTCTTTAAGGGTGCTTTTTGAAACTACTATATGGTGTTGTGGCCCTAAAGAAATTATCAGGGGTACACATATCAGTAGACAAATGGACACTTAAGTTTACAAATTACTTATTTAATATATTTTCATACTAAACATAATCTAAGGGTAATTTCAATTAAGGGTACTTTTTGAAACTACTGGATAATGTTGTGGCCACGAAGAGATTATAATGATTTTCATTTTAGTTGACAAATGAACAGTTCAATCTTCAAATCACATACTTAATATTAGGGGACACATCACCTTATAAATATGGATCGTTGGAAACTTGGAATTCCATATTTGATTGTAATATATATATAAAGAATTAGTTATTTTGATATTATAAAAGTTTGAATCTCTTATCTTAACTTAAGTAACATTTTTAAATTAATAATGTAAGGTGTGTTCTTTTTTCGAATTAAGTTGTCTTTAAAAATTAATAACCATTGAAAAACTTATTGAAAGATTATGAAGGAATATTCTTTTAATCAATAGGATGTACTAAAATGTGAATAACTTCTCATTTAAAAAAAAAAAAAACTAAACATACTCAAAGGGTACTTTTTTAAACTATTGTACGATGCTGTGGTCGGTGAGCAATTATCAAGTTCCCATATAAGTGGACAAATGGCACTTCCATCTTATATGATGTGGATTTGTGGATTGTTGAAAGGAAAATAATGTTACATTTTTTAATTCAACAAGTTCATTTATATTCATCGATTTAGTTATTAAAATGTATAATTAAAAATGATCTCATTTTAAATTTAAATTTAAAAATAATAATTTTTTAATAAATATATTAAAAATATAGTTTTTTAATTAAATTAT